CTATGTGTTTTAACTCCCGAACAGAGACCGCCCGCAAGGCCAAAACACATGGAGCCTTTTTCGGATACCACCTCGTATGCGGTCGGTCAAATTACACCCTCCATCTAACTCCCGAACCCCTGGTCTGATCTGGGTGACTTTTGGATATGTTAGTCACCCAGATCAGGGCTACCAGGTTCTCACTGCTTGTTTTGGGGTACATCTAGAATTTAGGGAAAAGTACAGTATGTTTAATAGGATTATGTGTCACATTGAGGGGAGGAGATGTGTGGGATGTAACTGTTACATTATTGGCTACTGGACTAATTATTCTCCCTTGCATGGGAGAATGCATTAAAAGGAGGTTGTGTGGATTCAAAGTTAGTTCTGCTCCTGATGCTATGTGTCATCCAGTCATTGGGATCTGTATGGGAATATTCGTGGATTACCTTGCTTGTTGGGATTATTACTCTGTGGTATTTTATTGCTTGTTCCTGAGCCTTACTGGGATCTTTAGTGGAGTTAACCTGTGAAAGACCAGCTCTCCGCTACAGTATGTATGTGTGTATCTGTGTGCCAGTGTTTATGTAGGTATGTGTGTTTGTATCGGTTTGTGTGTGTGTGTTATATTGTGATGGGATTCCAGCATGGTCAAGATTTAGTAGGCCGAAATCTCCACATGGCATATGCTAATTAGTATCTGATTACAAACAGTTGGATGCGTCATCAGTATACTGAGCATGTGTGGAAGTGGATAGTAAATTCCTTTGTCTTCAACAAGCCATGTGGTCTGCCCATATAAGGTGATCCTGAATATCCTGTGTGCTGATTGGTCTGTATGGGAGGGGATATGCTGCCAACAAAAGGCCTCTGCACCTTGATTTCTGCTCTCAGAAATTTTGGGAACAGGAGTTCATCTGAGACCCGATCAGTACGTGAATAAAGGCCTCTTACTTCCTGAATACCTGTGTCCATATCTCTATGTGTGGCTTCTGCGGTTTGTTCCTGTTATTCCTCCGGTAACATTTCTGGTGCATTGGGTCCGGGAACCTC